GGAACCGAGATGGAATGACTGAGCTTTACAGGAAGGATTTTCACAGATCGATCAATACAAACATGCATGTTGTCCACTCGTCACGGACCATGCCAACTCTCATAGAGTGACTGAAAATTCCGTTGCTTTCGGTTATATTGAACCCCTTTTGGCTGTAACGCTCAAGATTATTTTGCTTAATCTGTTGAAGCGTGCCGAATTTTCCTATTGGTCCAGAATTATCTGAAAGGTAGTTCACATCACTCATTTTCTTATTTACTTTTTATTACCGCAGATATTTTCTGTGAATACTTGTAACATTTTGGCCGGATAGTGAATCAGGCTCACTATCAGAGGTATGACCGCCTTATGTATTTGTGATTAATGCAAAAATAGTACCGAAGATTATTTTTGGATCGACTTGGTTCTCGATAATTTGGGCTACGCGTTGCTCTGAGATTTGTTTATCGCTATCCAGAACGAGCGAAGGATCATTTGATTGAACGCGTACAGACGAAGTCTTTTTTATTTCGCTCGGACTAGGCCAATCGCGTTTTGGTCGTTACAGGATCTCATCCAGTCCCGGTGACATTTTAGCTACGAGACTTACCAGTTTTATCCCGACTTGCGCAGAGGAGAACGACACAGTTTCCATGTATCTGCTGGGTATGCAGCTGACTGCGGGAAGACCCCTTCCGTCTTTCCGGCTAACACGTTCAGGGCTAAATACCGTGGAGTAGTACTTAGCCAGGGTGTTAGCTGCAGTCTTGTTGCCATCCGTAAGGGATCCATCCACTCGACGGTTGTCGGCGATCCCGGGTTTCGCCTGGGTCATCATGGAGATGTTCCTATAGAAACTTCTCGGGTCCGCAATCACCCGGAATAAAAACTGCCTCTGGTGCCCACTGGTGTCTTGCTTTCTTTGTAGGTTACATTGGTTGCGCAACGCAACATAGGCCTCGTAATCTTGGGAGCTCTGGGACCATTGGTATTGGTTCCACGCGCGTCTTTTCCGTGTAGTTCATATCAGTTTGCACAGGACGATGTGTGGCCCGGGCCAATCTTGCGCCCAGATTGATGTGTTGTTGGCTGTTCTTGTGGCTGCGAGTCAATAGTTTTTTCTGAAAGCAGAATATAAGGTGCAGTATCACGCCCATCAAGGGAAAGTAGAAGCCCAACAGCCATCTAATGCCCTTTTGAAGGCTATGACGTTCGAGCAACTTACCACATTTTCAAGTAGACTATTCCAGTAAGGAGTAACGCGACTTATAAAGAACTTGGCTCGAATGTCCAGCCTTACAAGACCACGTTGTAGCCTTAAACTATGTCCCCTAGTGCCACTTGAGCGGATGAACTGGAACATGTCCTCGAACTTAAGTCCGGAGAGACCGTTGAGGATCTTCAAGACTTTTATGAGATCCCCCTTTACTCTTCTTCTTGCTAGAGACAATAGGTTGAGGTTCTTGAATCTCTGCTAGTAGCTCACACCTCTTTGTCACACCATCATTCTTGTAGCCAGGCGTTGCACTCTTTCAAAACATTCGATGTCTTTCCGAAAGTAGGGTGCCCATTCCTGAACACAATATTCCAGGCGAGGCCTGACTATGGCCTTGTACAGAGAGACGAGAACCTCGGATCTCCTACACGTAAACGTGGAGTGTACACGAAAGAGTTCCCTTCGAGTTATGCTGGCTACCCTCTGGCATTGTTGAGAGGGTTTGAAGTCGTGGGGTATAATTACCCCCAGGTCCTTAACTTCTCTCTCTTAAGCTGGATTTCATTCTGTATGTCAAGTTCAGCTTTTTCTGTTAGAAGCTGACGCTTAGCTAGGTTGAGCGGAAGATCCCACCTCTCGGACCACCGTATAACAGCCTGCAGGTCCTGTTATACGTTCGTTCCAGCCACTTTGAAGTCGTCCGCGAACATAAAGCACGGGTTGTTGATTTCCCGTGGTAGGTCGTTGACGAACATCAGGAACAAGTGGGTTCCCCTACATGCTGCACAAGCGCATGCGAATGGATCCACTCCAGTAGTGCCCTCCACGTAGTTCCTCTAGCAGCTCGTTCTTCTTCCCAAGTTATTTCAGGAAGGTTTAGATCTCCCACGATGAGAAACCTATGGGCCCTTCGAAGCACCTCTTGTAGGGTACGCATCAGTTCATTATCCTCAGTCGTCGTTGAGTTGGGTGCCCTATAAACGCAGACAATGCCTATGGGTCCCGATCCAACCTTTAAGTGGCAAGCAGTAACCCGAATATTGGGAGTAGCCAACTGCAGTGGCCACTCCCATTGGTGACAGGTATTCCGCACAGCTAAGAGGACTCCGCCCGCTTGCCTCCCGTGTAATCTATCCTGTCTATATTGGGTATACTCCTGCAGACCCAGAGCCGTATCTTCACCCTTGAG